TCGAACATCTCTGCGCCGTCGATGAAGCCCCCCTCCCGGATGTACATTTTGCCCTCCATGTCGGGGTCCCCATCGTAGTGCTCGTCGACGTTCCAGCGGGTCAGCGGCACCTCCACTATCGCATCGCCGCCGGTGCTCAACAGCTCCCACAGCGACCCCAGCGACGAGCTGCCGCCCGGCAGACGGCACGCCGCACCCACGATGGCGATAGGCTCGTCTGCCCTGATGCCGCCCACCAGTGTGCCGCCCTGTTGCGCGGCCTCCTCAGTGGCGCGGCCCTCCAGCTCGCCGACGAGGAAGTCGATGATGTCCTTCGTCGTTGGGTAATTGAAAATGAGCGTCGGCTCGATGTGCAGCGACAGCGTCTGGGACACGTTCCCGGCAAACTCCACCGCACCAAGGGAGTCGACACCCAGCTCGTGCAGAGGCGCGTCGAAGTCGAAAGTGTCGGTGTTGCCCAGGATCTTGGCCGCCGACGCCAATACTGCTGACTGGACCATCTCCCTCCTCTGTCCCATGGAGAGGCCCTGGCCCGTTGCCTTTTCCTGTGTCGCAACGGAGCCGCCAGACGGCCTCGTCCGAGCAGCTGGGGAATCATCCTTCTCTCCTCCTGCGGCACACTCGGCTACTGACGCCTCGTTGGTGGGTAGGTGAGCTGCTGCGGCCTGCTCCTCGTTGTCCGTGTCGGGCCCAGCCACAACCTCATCCCAGATGAGGCCCGCCAGCTCCCTGTTGAGGAGGAGTTCACGCGTCTTGAACCGACGCACTTTGCCTGACGAGAGGCAGCGACAGAAGCCAAGGACAACACTGGTTGAATCTGACATTGTCCATCGGCATATGTGTACGTCAAATAGACGTACCTGCTGTTGTCTTTGGGATGGTTCTTGGTTCGAGCAGCCATATGTGGAAGACGGGAAGCCCCACCTTGGCCGAGACGGCCTTGCATATCTCGCGGCCGACTTGCCTGTATTGAGCCCCTTTACTGGTGAACGCCTGCCACAGCCCCGAGAGCCATCCCAACGCCGTGCCGTTGTCCATCTTGATCTCGACCGCCAGACCCAGCCGCTCGTGATCATCCACCTCCAGTGAGAACGCCGCCACGCATCCCTTGCGGACCGATTCGCAGCTCTCTGCTGCCTCCTCGATATCTTGGGGGAAGTAGTTGCGGCCCCGGACGATGATCATGTCCTTGATGCGGCCGGCGATGAAGAGTTCTTCCTTGTAGAGGAAGCCGCTGTCACCTGTGCGGAAGTAAAACGGCTCCGACTTGTCCCCCGTGCGGTAGATGCACTGCCCGTGGAACGACTCCCGCGTCTTGTCGGGAAGGTTGAAGTAGCCACGGGCCGTGCTGCCAGACATGATCCACACCTCGCCGCGCCGGCCCTCTGGCAGCTCCTTCAGAGTCTCGGGATCAACAATTCGAACTGAACGAAGCAGTCGGTGATCGACCGGCGTTGGTCATGGTGGGGTGTGTGTGTGTGCCTGTGTGTGTGTGTGTGTATGTGTGTGTACCGTCTATCCCAGGGAAGGGCACGCCGCATCCGACGAGCCTCTGGTAGCCGCCTGCGTCCGTATCAGCTTCATCCACCAACTCCACCACACCCTGGCCACACACACAGTCGGATGGTTGTCTCGTGTGCAGCCAGCCCATGTGTGCCGTGTGTTCGTTCATCATGTACTTGGCTCCTCAATTTTTTGGCATCGACATTGATGATGAGCGGCTCGCTATCGATGCCTTTGCGGCCTGTCACGAACAAGGTGTTCTCAGCCAATCCATACGCCGGAAGGAACATGCTTCGACGCACTCCTTTGCTCTCAAATTTCTGTTCAATAAGTCACATAGAGTGCGCACAGACAGCCAGGGTGCTCATGAATCCTACGTTCTGTCGACAGCTAGCTTGCCTGCCGCACGCACGTACCTTGACGAATTTCTCCACGGTGGCTACTCGGATTGGTTCTGCCCCGCACAGGAACCCCATGACGTGGCTGAGGTCCAGGTCGTGAAACACGCTGTCGGGCATCTTGCGCGTCACCAGCTCAAAGGCGAAGTTCGGCGCAGCACACGCACACGCCTTGTAGCGACTCATGCCTGCGTGAATGCGAACGGCACACAGACCGAAAGCCATGCATTCAAGTCAAGCACCACTCGGCGGTCAGCTCGAGACTCGTGCTGACAGGCACCTCACCTTGCAGCCACAGGTAGGGCTTCCTGACGAAGTCGAGCGGTGAGATCTGGTAGAGCTCACATCCAAAGAAGATGGGCGTGCAGAGGAAGCCGATGAGCCCCATGTCGTGGTAGACGGGAAGCCAGGAGAAGAGCCGCAGCCGGTGGCCCCGCACCCGCTCGCTGATCTCGTGACGCTGCATCAGGATCTCGCGCGTCCTGGTGTACGGCTGGCCCGTCACTGTGATGTTGGGAATGGTCGGGTCGTCGATGTTGCTGTCACAGCCGTAGGCTGAGGCGCAGCAATGGACGTTGTGCAGCAGCGACCCGTGCGTGACTATCACCCCCTTGGGCGCCGCTGTCGACCCCGATGTGAACTGCAAAAAAGCAATGTCACTCAGGCCGATGGACGGGGGGGTGAAGGACGCCTCGGGCTTGTCGTCTGCGGCCGTCCGCTTGAGTGCGTCGCTGGTGAGGATCCACTCGATGGATCTCCACCTGTTGTCCTTGGCATAAAGGCCCACAACGGGGGCGATCCTCTGGTAGAAGGTGTTGGTGAGCGAGTAGCGCACCTCGGTGCTCTCGGCGATGTCGCAGAAGCGCGGCACATCGATGTCTGCCTTATTGGGGGCGGGGGGATACACAGGCACCGCAACGACGCCCGTGTAGAGGCAGGCGAGGAAGGCGATGATGAAGTCGGTGCCGGGTGGGTAGCACAGGATGACTCGATCGCCCACCGACAGGCCAAGCTCCTCTATCAGAAACGCCCCGAGCCGCTGCACCTTCCTGAAGAGCTCACTGTATGTCAGCACCTCGGCCGGCTCCCCATTGCCGTCGAGCCATGTGATGGCGGGATGCTGTGGTATCTCATCCGCCCACTTGGCGAGGGCTGTGCCGAATGCCGACGCCCCATAAAGCTGGTGCAGCTGTGAGAGATCATGAGAGATTGGTCGGGGAGGGACCTCCATAGCGCTGATCGATGTGCTGTGAGTGTGGGCCACGCCACGAAGTCCAGAGCGAGCTCAGCGGGGCTGCTTCCGGGCGATGCGGTCTTGCCTGCCGTTTGAAGGGAGTGAGGATAGCCGGCGAGCTCAGCCACGTCGATCTGTGATAAAGATCTATGTAGCGACGTGCTTCAGACCCGCTCACACGTCCACATCTGCATGAGAAGAGAAAACAAGCGTGGCCTGCCTTCCGGTGAGGCTGCCGATGGATCAATTCCATGCTTGCTGACCTCCGAATGCTCCTGTTCGAGCCCACTCATGATGGCTTGTAATGATTTTCTGTCCTTCTCCCCTCAAGCGTTACACGACCAGCCCTACACCCTCGGGGTAATTTCGCTTCTGTTTGAGCCTTTGAAGGGCAGTGGAGGCCTGCTGGCGCGTAGTTAGAGTCAGGTGTCGCAGCATCTCTGTCGGCGTCATGTCTGCGAGTCAGCCCATGTCGGTCAAGTTCGAGGGCTCTGAGGACACTCTGACCATATCAGAGGCCGTGGCGCAGCAGTACACCTTCTTCCAAGCCGTAAGGAACCGATCATGGCACTGCATGTGCTGCTGGGTGCAAGATCTGACTGCCTTCGTGTGTTGTGCTGCAGTTGCTGGACGGCGGTTTCCAGGAGTCGGCCGAGCGCACAGTGACGCTCAAGGAGATCTCCCGGCCAATAGCTGCCGTCGTGCTGCAGAGGAGAAACGACATGCTCAAAGATATCACACGAGAGGTACCGGGGTGCACACTGCCGTCTTTCCCATGTCGGATGCTGCTGTCACTCATTGTGCGTCTGTCTGTGCTAGAATCTGTTGGATTGCTTGTCG